CTGCCCACGGCCACCCCCGCCGGAGAGCAGCACACGTATTCCCTTTATCCTCTCTCACTCTTTTCCTCTCCCTCTTTTACTTTCCGTCCTTCATCCCCGTTTTCCTCTCAATCACCATCTGCTCCTCCGCCTCCACCTGGCGCGGCCCGACCGATCAAACCAGTGGCACTGCAGACACAATAAAAACGGGAAAAAAAGCGCCGGCCGCGCACACATTTCGCGCAGTCACTACTCTCTTTCTCCCGCTTCGTTTCACCTCTCTCTCTCTCTCTCTCTCTCTCGCCTACGTGTGAGAGAACGAGGGACACGACGGAGTACCGGATGCTTTTGAGAAGTTATTCATGAAGCGTCCGACGAGATTTCTCGGACGTTGCGTATTCTCCTGTTTCCTCACTTCCTCTTTTCTCTCCCTCTCTCTCTCGAATAACACCGCAACACTTTCGATAAACGAAATATCGAGCTGAACGAGCACTCAAACATTTAGAAAAGTTTAAAGCTTTACTGGAGCACGAGCGTTCTAGTAACCTCGAAATCGCTCGACAATTTTCTTGACGATTGTCATTTGTATCTCTCAACGTATCGGAAGCACTCTTGTGCAAACTTGCGATCAGCCGCATTTCCCTCCCCTCTGGACGAAAGGCGGAGCGCCAACAAGGGACCGCGAGAGCCGAGCGGGTATTGACCATCCGATATCGATATTTCGCGACGCTTTATCGCGGACGTGCTCGTTAAACCGATAAATGAATAATGAGCGCACTGTATATGGGATGGATATGGAGAGACAAGCGCGGGGGGTGGGCGAGAGATGGAGGGAGAGACAAGCGCCGGGGGGTGGAGAGAAAGAGAGAACGAGGAGGAGGAGGAAGAGGGGAGAGGAGGGGACACGCACAAGGGGATGAGCGAGCGAACCAGCGAATCGGACAAAACAACGAAATCGAATCACTCGTGGTGGCCGCCCGTACTTTTCATGCGTGAATTTTCCGACTGCCCCGACACGTACTGCAGCTGCGGAATCGCCGGTAATAGCGTTAGTAAAATCGAGAGTAATGCCCGAAAGCGTTTACAATACGCATCGCTTCCTGCAAATAAAAACGTAGGAAGAGAGAGAAAGAGAGCGGCGAGCGCGCGTCGCCATCCGACGCAACAAAGCGGCGAGTTGCCGCGCGTGGTCATCAACCGATGACGCACGACGAAGCGGGTCAAAATCAAACGATACTCATCGCGACGTGATTCTCTCCGGTCGCGAGAAATGTGTGCCGCAAGAAAAAAAAAGAGAAAAATATTTAGAATCATATCTAGCCAGATCTAATGACCGTTGATCTCGAAATGTGTGTCATTACAGAATCCTTGGGTAGAATGTCCAGCCGCGTTGTTTATTGAAAAAGTTACGTAACAATAAACAATCAAAGTTGATCTTTATCCGTTGTTATGAGGAATTTATAGCGTGTAGAATTCTACACACGGTTTAATTTTTTACACGCACGCGAAAATGAGTTTTTGCCTACCGTAATCTACTGTTTAACACACAATAGAGATTCAATAAATAAAAATATCACTTTAATAAACAGCGAGCGACGAGCTAAAATCTTCTCTATGTTACAAAAAAAAAAAAAAAACAACCTCGACACGTGTGTATTCTGAGGTCATTGACATTAGGCTTCTTCCTCTCGCTTCGTAAAAGTAAATAATTATGGAAAAAAATTTACAACTTTGCGCAGCGACGATTTGCACTTTTTTTCTTCATTAAAAAAAAAACAAATTAGCATCCGTTGCAAATACGCGTATATAGTTTCTAATATCGCAACACGTCCCACTGTTTTGAATAAGCAAAACAGCATCTACACACACACACACACATACGTACATACATACATCTCTCGTTAACTGACGCGTTAAAGCCATCAGAAAACTTCCTGCTAACGCAGACGTTTATCGCCGTGGCGCGATATATCCGTAAACTATCCGGCGAGCGTGATTCCGGCTGACAATGATTATCGTACAGGTGTAACAGGAAAACGTAACAGCTCGGTTGCGGTCAGACGGTCGACGATGATGACAGTAATTGCCGAGAATTAGCGACGTTAATAACCTCTAGGCGGGAGAGAGAGAGAGTGAGAAAGTGAGAGAGAGAAAGAGAGAGAGAGAGAAAGAGAGAGAGAGAGAAATAGAGATAGATAGATCGCAGGAGAGAACGCGTTTGCCCCACTGTCATGCGTAGACACTTATCAGGCCGTTAATGTAACACCCGATAAATCCTCGGCGTCGCGATATTTTGCTCTTCCGCGTCTCCGGATTCGTTATTCATTTCTGTCTATCTTTTTCTCTCTCTTGCTTTTTTGTTTTTTACACTTCCATCGAGATGCGTTCTCGAAACGCGCGACAACGACCGGCCCTCGTCATAAACGCATGAGCTATTAATCGCGGCGACCGCGTGTCGGCAGAAGCGAGCGTGTCGACGAGACAGCGGACGGCATCCGATTTTATAAATATCGCGGATATACGCGGATACGCGCGCAATAAATCGCGCGCGTGTACACGCCCGTGTAAATTGCATTTATCGCGATATAATTTCGCGCGCGTCCTCGATAAATATATACAAATCCGCGTGCGCACGCACACACACACACACGTGCGTCTCTCCTCTTGACGAGACTACAACTACCGAAGAGATAAATTTCGCGAAATTAAAATGTAACAGAGAGCAACGAGATGATCGTCATATCCGCGCGAGAGATCCGCGAGGAAATTACGTCACCGTTATATCTCGGAAACTGCCTCCCCGTGCTGTCTCTCGACCGCTTATCTCCAGAGCGGTATCGAGGACATAAAATGTCGCGGGGATACGACATGACCGTGTGTGCGCACGATTTCCTATCGGGAAATTTATATTCCATCGCTCCGCGGCTGCTACATTTTTCACACGTGTATCTCGTGCACGTGCATCTCGCGACTTGTTCCTCGCGAAACGTTCCGAGGAAGTCCCAAAAGAGTTATGCTTCTTCGCAACATCCAGACTCTAATATACGTGAAACCTAGACGGAGAGACTTCGAGAAGAAATCAATGTGTTCGACTGTAGAGAAAAAAATTTACCGTTTCGTTTTTCTTTTTTTTTTTCTTTTTTTTTTTTAACAACACTGATTCTCATGTTCTTTTTTTGTACAAACGCGCACATAAATATAGATGTGTAATTACACGTTTCTCAATATTTGCCACGAATATTGTCGTTTTTTCTTCTATAATAATCACATGCAAATTCGATCGTTTGAACGGCCTCCCGTTCAATTGCTCGCGCGTAATTGCTGCTTAACCAGCTTAGTCACGTTCGAGGAAGACTACGTATTTGCGACCACATCAACACCATTCGCTCGAGCGTGGTATCCCAATCGGGGAAGGAGATAAGCAACTCGCGCTACCTGACTTGCCTTGGCTACCGGTTTTGGTGTAAGTGAGGTCGGTGCGCGAGGTCTTACTCGCTGATTTGAACGACGCATATCCTGGCCGGAAAAAGCAGCGGCGGAGGGCGGAACGAAACTGGGAGAGACACAAAGCGGACGCGGCGCGGCAGGGCGGAGAAAATAACGGGCTCGTCTGCTAAATATTCACTATACGTGAGCATTACTTCGCCGTTCCGACGCGCGCCCACGCCCGGGGATGGCATAGACTCGACAAGAGAAAAGCGAGGAGCGAGAATATCGAAGTAGGCGAGAAAAGGAGGCTCGAGCGCCCGTTTATTCTCCCGGAATTCGTGATCAAGATTCTTGCTCGATAGCGTGTACAGAATGCCTTCGCCAGGAGACACTCAGAAGCCACGTCGTCGTCGACGACGATGATATTACCGGCTTGTCGATAATTCGACCGAGCCACTTGTATTTGTCGGTTCTAAAAACCAAGATATTCTCTTCTTCTTCTTCTTCTTCTTCTTCTTCTTCTCCTCGTCGAGACTCTTTTACGTGCACGACACGACAATGTTCGAGAACTCCATTCTCGAGATAACGACGAGCGCAGAAATACGCGCGCGACTCCTCCGAAAAGATTTATATATGAGATCGGATCGGGATTTGCGGGTTTTTCGATTCGGCGCGGCGCGTCCTATAATTAAGAGACGGTCCCGGCTCTCTTGTGTCGCCGCCGATCGATTTACAGCGTTTCTTTTCTTTTCCCCTTAAATCATTCAATTGCGGCATGCTATCTTTTTCCCGTTGTCTATAAAAGAAAAAAAAAACTAGAACGGCTGCTTCGAAGAAGAATGACGAAATCGGCGGCGCACACGCGGCGGTGGTCGACGGATGCACACGCGCGAGAAAATAAAAAAGTCAAATTGGCCGTTCGATAAACGTTGAATATGGATAAGGGAGGAGTTTAACGACTGAAAAAAAATCTTTATGATGCAAATTCGCCGTAATGAATCTCTCTCTCTCTCTCTTTCTCTCCGCGGAAAAAAATACGGATTTGACTAACATAAACTCTGTATAAAAAAAAACCAAAAGAAGACGCGTTTTATGAAGCGTTATTCGATTTGATTGCGCGACGCGAAATAAGGAGCTAATGAGCAAATTCTGCGCGCAAATTATATATCGCGTAACCTAGTTCCTAGAACAAAAAAAAAAAAAGAAAAAAAAACATAGTTAAGTTTGCGTCTTCCGTTGCGCAAGATTTTGCACAACAACAAGCGACGCCGGGGAACACCCCCAGGTCGCGCTATTTGCATGTTATTACCTTGTTTACATATTTATTCAATAGCTAAGGTCCCGGAGGGTCGCAAACACCCCGTAATCGGAGCTTTCTCCGCGTTCGGCCCTTTAATTTCGGATTAAATCCCGTGTGCCCGCGCGCAACGTGCCAAACTAAGCGATTAATAAATCACCGATGTGTCGACCGACAACCGCAAACACACGTTTATCGATCAACGAGAAGACGAGATGATGTTCTCCTCTATATCATCTTTTTCGTCGGATGATACTCGACTAATTTAATATAACGAGAGCGTAAATTTCCTTACCTGTTTGTGCATCTCCACGTTGAGCCCGTACGACATCTCGTAATACTGCAAAAAAGTAAAATAAAACAGAAAGATTAGAGCGTAAAATTGCTTAAGTTCACACCGTTATACCAATTAAGTGTAAGCGTTTGTTAGCTGTGCGTATAATCTTTATATGCATTATTATTTCGTCGTTTAAGCCACGCCGACGTTTTAAGCTCAAGATGGTATATATGCGTGCATACGAAACTAGATATAGCTGTGGAACGCGGAACTTTTCATGCAGAGAAGCTTGAACTTCGCCGGAAGGTGTGTTGCTGCTTTTTCTTTTTTTTTTTTTTTTTTTTTTTATTTTGCACGGAACCCAATTCTCGCATTTTACAGCTTTTGTTGTCTTATTCGAAACCGCACAAGTACATTTCTCGCGTTTTAATCGGAAAGCCATAAAACTTGCGGATAAATTTGCGCCATCGCGAGTGCAATGCCACGAATGTTCGCGTTCAATGCGCTTATATGTATACATATATATGTGTATATAATAATATATATATATATATATATATGTGTGTATGTATATGTATATATGTATTACACATATATGAACGTGACAAATATTGTTTTTCGCCGTTTATCGGCGATAAAATGATTTAACGTCGTTTTATTCGGCGTGTGTTGGTTTAACGCAAACGAGCGAGCGAGCGAGCGAGCGCGTAATAATCGAAACGCGGCCATACTCGTAGATAATAAAAACGATGAAAATCACCTCGCGCGAGTAATCGAATTATCGGGGGATTTTGGGGAAGGCGCGCGTGTGCGCGCGTCCGTCTTCATCATGATATGGGAGGGAAGGGACACACCGACATGGAAGGAACACCTCAGTGAAAGAGATCCTTAAGAGGCCCCCTTCGCGATTGCGAGATTATATCGATCAAATGAGATTACGAGATTACGAAAAGCGGACCAAATTGAGCCGTAATGCGAGACCGCAGTCAGTTGGTAAGAGGGATAAGCGCGTCGGAGAAAATGAGAAAAACGAGCAGGACGAAGGAGCACGGGGCGCGCTTTCGCCTTGTGCTATCTCGATAGGGAGAAAAGACGTACGTGTGTATGTGTGTGTATCCGCGCGCGCAGAATGCACACGTGTGCATGTACGTGTCGACCAAAGACCGGTTTCTCGTAACATCGTTTCTACATCGTGTGTACAAGACTCAGTCTGGGCCGGCTTTAACTAATTCGCTCACCGGAAGCAGCGGTTCTCATTTCGCACGCACGAAATTTCTCGTCGTAAAGATTCTCATCGGATTATCCCACGTTTCCGAGTGACTCCTCGTGTCGCTCGAGAATGTTAAATGTACGGTATCGATGTGACCACTCTTACGCGCATAATAACGACGGAAATTGTCGACAAGACGAGAGAAAGAGAGAGAGAGAGAAACTCGGTAATTTGTGATTTTAACGATCGTCTTGAACATAGTCGCCGCATTATTCCCGGCGGAATCAATGACCGTTGTGAAGTAAACTTTATTGCCGGGTGATCGTAAAGCGCGCACTAAACCGTGTTTTAATATATCGGCATGCGCGCGCGCGCGCGACTACGACAGTTGATTTAGCGTTTTTTCACGCGAATACACCGCGCACGCGGAAGAGACGACGCCAATGTACATACACGAGCATTATAGACACGTCGAAGCGTTTATATCTCGTCGCGCAATGTTCTCGACGTTACACGATTTCAGCGACACCGGCCAATATTTATTTTGCGATACAATAGAATTATCGTTAATACTTTAAACGCGAGCGAATTCGTTTGAATGAATATTTTACGAACTTGCTTCGGACAGGCCGCGATTAATTAAACCCGTTTGTTTTAATAATTCGATATTCGTCCGGCGCAGTTTATCTTCGAAATTACGATTATTTTGTAAATTGTGAACGTTACAATATATATACATACATACATACATACATATATATATATATATATATATATATATATATATGTATACACAGACAGATGTGTGTATATGCGAGAAAATACAAATGTGAAAATTCGGACGTGCGCGAGCGGGCCGCTTTTAAATACAAATTAATCCGGCTATATTTTTATTACATTCGCGCTCGCGAGAGCATTATCAATAAATCGCGAAATGTATATTTCAATCGGCTCCGTTCTTGCGAAAATAATAATTTCGCTAAAAGCTCGTAGCCTATGTCAATGTATAATTATGTTTTCGAATGTATCGAATGTGCTGCTAAAACGTGCGCTGCGAAGATGTAAAAAAAAAATGAAAAAAAAAAGAAAAAACCGATTAAAAATTTATAAGCGCGCTAACGACATTTCCGTTTTTTTCCGATCGCGTTTTACTATAATTAGAAAACCACTTACAAACTGTTTTATTTAACATCTTTCGCGTCGCGGCGAAAGATTTCTCTCTTCCATTTTGGCGGATTTGCGGAGAGAAAGAGGAAGAGATAGTTAAGAAGTGCAGTTGCGCGAGGAGATCGTTTTGCCGTCGGGGACCGTCCCAACCGAGTAATTGGCTTTTAATTAATAGACTTCCTCTCCGTAGGGAGGCGGATCGTCGGAAGGGAGGTCAGGATCTTAATTATCGCGAGACTGGAAACGTCGCTCTCGCGGTCGAGACGTCTGATGCGAGCGAAGGAACATCGTTGAGCATCATCAGAGCACACAGTCGGTTACGATAATGAAGTGAAGCCGTGTAAATAAAACAAACTACAGAAACTACATTCACTTCCAATAACATCGTGCTTCCGATGTGTTTATATCTATTTTATTACAGAAGATTTTCTCTCTCCGGTCGAGAGAGAGAAAAGTATCATTTTGTTTCAGATTCTCTTCGCGTGTCTCCTTTGTAAAGTCGTAGATAAATCAAGAGTCTCTTCCTTTAATATCCATATTGAATTCTTTCTCGTTCGAAGAGCAGTGAGTGTGAGAAGAGACGATTCGGGCCATTATTAGATGAAAACTCACTCCATCAGTGTTCCTTCTCTCTCTATATATATATCTCTCTCTCTTACTCCCGAATCGTGACCGATTTGATTGCAAAAACGACTCCGGCGCGACGCAATCACTTTTCAATTCCCGAGCAGCTGAACGATATCGATCGCGATCGGTATCTACCCCCGGTAGAATGTGCTGGCTCGTCCCTCTTTCGTTAGACCCTTATCTCACCCTTCCATCGTCCCTCAATGGAAATCGTTCCTGTTGCGAACACGCTCTTTAGACGATGGCGACATCTGACTCTGATCGTATACGACTTGCAAATTTTGTCCCCAATGTAGTCCTTCTGCTTCGGCTTTGATTCGATCAAAAAAAAAAACTAAAAAATAAAAAAAAATAAAATAAAATAAAACACCCCGACACATCGTGCACGAATGATGCGCGATAGCTATTTGCAGTCGACTGCACGTTATATTCGAGTTACAAAATGATTCAGTAAATCCGACACGATGTATCGTCGTAAAATAAAAAGATAAACTTTAATCTCCACAATCTCCTTAATCTCCCGGAAAGCCACTGTAGTGGCGCTGCAGCAATTTTGTGAAATGCACAACTCTATAATTCTTCTTATCGCACTATTATCCTCACCAAACAAAAAACAATTTCAATGTTTTACTAATAGACTTTGCTCATTATTACATTACACATTTTTTCATATAATTTTGCCAACTAATTTGATTTTTCATAATTCAACAGATACACAAAATTTTCTGTGTGATTAAATAAGAAAACAAGTCAATTTGAAAACAAAATTATTCTTAATTAAATATTTTTCTCCACTCTTCGACATCGAACAGTTTAATTTTCAAAAACTATAAAAGTCGTCCGAAAAACTCCCGTACTGTAAAGGTTAATATTGTTCTCACATTTCCAGCGCTCGTCGCATCTAACATTCTTTGAACAAGCAATAGAAACGTTTTAGAATCACTTGACCGCGGCGCGAAGCTCTCTCTCTCTTTCTCTCTATCGTGCGGTTAACGGTGCAATTTTGCGAGCGGAAATACGAAACGAAGGACGTACTCAGGGCCGATGTATCGAGCGATATTGCGACTGTGAGCCGCGGCGGTGCTTCGCGGCGACGATATCCCGGCTTGCTGCGCTGGCCGCGGTTCGCGCGCTCGTAAAAGTTCACGAGCTCGACAATTACATGAAAGAGTCGTAAAAAGGCGTAATGTCCCGTGGCAGCGGGGGCTATATCGTCGCGGTGTAACGACGTCGTTGCAGCGGGGGTATATCCTTTGCCAGAAACACGACTCCGTACACGCTCGGCGGCTGCCATCGATAACGAACGACACACGACGAGTTGTATATATATTCCCGTTGACTATCTGCCAGAGCAGCTGGAAAACGCGTCGCGACGTCGCTCGCTCGGTTCGTTGCGAAGGAAAAATTGAAGGCAACTCCAGTGAAAATCTCCCCGCTTGTATAATCTCTGCCGGATATATTTCGATTGTAAACTCGCGATGGAGGAAACACAGATGGATATCCGTGTTGGTGATTCAACGACGGGAAGAACGACGACGACGACGACGTTGTTCGACATAGGAAAAGCAAATTGCGAAGATTATCCGAGCAAGACTGTACGCGTGATAACGTTTCATCCGCGTAGTGTTTCGCGACAATTCAACGAAACAACAACGTAGAGAGACGCGGATCGTATCCGCGCGCGAATCGATGAGTCCGCTCGATGCGAAAACGGTATAGGTATTTAGCCGACAGACGCGCGAGTACCTGTTGCTAACGTCGACCTGAATCCGATACTACAATAAATTCTTGTTACGTCGAGTAATCAATCATCAATGATAAAACGGCGCGATAGGACGATAGCGCAATAAATATGCTTTCGTGCTCGTCGATCGAAATTTGATTAAGTGCATTCCGTGGTTTTCGCTATGTTTCGCGCCGACGTTCGTTATACCCGGTGCGCACAACCGGCGGAACAATAAGCGAAGCTATATCGGAACGAAAGTGGGATAAAGTACGATATGTACATTTAAACCTGTCACAAAATAAACACACGTGAGTCCGCGGCACCGATCGATCGTCGCACGCGGAGAATAAAGGATCCGACGCACACACAGACGCGGAGATCGATCGAAAGAGAGAAAGAGAGTGAAGCGAGCTACCTATCAACTATCCGTACACTGACCGCCACTGAATTGTTCGCGCGAGAGAGGAAGAAAAGTTTCCCTTCTGCGCGCCGATCTCTTTCAACCGCTGTCGATTGGAAGCCGCGCTCGAAACAAGAGAACGGCGCGTGGAAGGGTAACTTTTTCCCCTCTCTGGCGGCGCGATTCACAGTGTGGCGGTCGGTGTGCGTGCTACGTACGCAACGTATATACGTGAGATGATCGCACGATTAATCTTCGTGCCGGCGTGAATCGGCGGAAGTGCCACGTCCACGCGAGACCGAGCGCCGCGCATTTTATATGAAGTTATTTGCATCGACCGCGCGCATGGACTACGGCCTATAAATTATCGCCCGCCTATAATGCACGCCTCGCGAGCTTTGGCCAACGAACTCCGTATATGAGCCGCGAACTAGCGCGAAATCGATGAATGACACGATCTTGTCCGCGGTCTTTTCTTGAGTAAGATCCCAATCGCACGGTCAACGAGCGGTAAATATCATCTAGATAACTTTTTTGTGGTACATTTAACCTTAATGGAAAAAGACATCAATTCACTTTCCATACACTAAATCACATAACCCGAGAATTATCGCGTTATCCGTTACACGAAGACGCGGAGCGAGAGATAAAAATCTGTACGGGACATATGTATACCTGTTAGTTTTTTTTCTCCGCGAGATGACAGATGGGATAAAAATGCCGGAATGAAGCATCGGGACCGTAACCGGTGTGAAATTAATAAAAGCAGTACTCGATTCGGCGACCTACGACCGCCCGCGAAGAAAGCGGTGCGAACCACTTCGTGCTTCGCGCGGCTTAATGAAGACGTATATACCCGACCAGCGGCGGATCGCGATAACGAAGATCTACGGGCGAAAGTAAGCCCCGAGACTCTTGACTTCTACGCGTACCTTCTACGTACTCCCGCGGGACAAAGTCGAAAAACAAATTCAGAAAAGAGACCGCGCGTCAGCGAAGAAAACGCCCGCCCCGCAATATGACGGTAAATTATTTTGCCACCACTTTATTACGGGAGAGACAGATGTTTTTTGTTATCGCTTCAACAAATGTGTGAAATTTCAAGCGTCAATATTTTTGTTATTTAACTTTTTCTTTTTTATTGTTTGCTGTTTCAAAGAAGACGCGTAACACTCTGATGTATCGCGACATCGCGTCGTGGCGCAAATTTAACGAGCTATGCCGCGTACCGAAGATGTGTTTCCCCGCGTGTGACGGAGATCAATCAAGAGCGATCGGGAAAAAAAAAAAAACCCTCGCGAGGATTTTCATCTCTACAGCGCCGCGCGAAAGGAAAACTCTCGTCGTTTTATTACTCTCGACACTTACTTGTTCTGCGCGATTAGGCTTTTTATTAAAGCTTTGTGAAAACTCACCATGACGTAGTGGCGCTGCATCTCCGTCTTCTCCTGGGCGAGTTTCTCTAGGTCCAACTTAACACTGGACAGAACAAGCAGGAAATCGCACGTGTAAGCTAAACATTAGTATGTGCAGGCGACATTCAAAAGCTGTGGGGATGAAATAAAGAGAGAGAGATAGAGAGAGAGAGAGAGAGAATGGAAGGAAAGGGGACGGTCTTTTTCTCTCTTTCGCTTTTGGGGGAGAGGGAAGAGAATCTCGTGACGCGCGCGTTTCGTTTACAATAGCGAGAGTATGACGCCGCTTAAATGAGATTATATCGAATCATCAACGAGTCGAGGGTTTGACTTGGGCTCCGTGGCGAATGAGGGACGTGTTTTATATAACGTGTATATGTATACATATACCGCGTCTGAAATTTGCCGTTCGAGCATATTACGTTCCCCGGCTTTTTTCGCACGTGTTGTGTTTTTTTAACCTTCCGAGCTAATTCATTCTTTCCATCGCGCCCCCAAATCGAGGGATATTGCGGAGGGATGGTGCACAGCCAAGCCATTAAAAACACACAATTAGTGCAGCCGCAACAAACATTGATAATAATTGTTATATACTGGCCATTGTGTGTGGAGACGTGTGTGTGTGTGTATGCGTGTGTGCATGAGATGTGTCTGCTTTGTGTTTACCAAAGTGGACTATTGAGGATACTCGGAGCATCGCGATATTGCAAGCGAATAATTCATAAAAACGCATTCGTCGAATTTACATCTCGTTCAATCGACAAATAAACACATACGCAACACAATATCGCGCGCACGCGCGTGCGCTTCCGCGGTACCGCTCGCGCGCGAATATATAAACAAACCGACTATTTTTCATTGAATAATAATTAATGACTTTCGCAACAACAACAACAACAAAAAAAAACAAACAAAATTACGCGTTGTAATCGTCGCGGAGGCGAGCGCGCCAAATTAACTCGCGTTTAAATTACTTAACATGCGGTTCGGAAAGAAAGTTAACACGAAATCAATACGAGAATCGACGCGACAGGTTCATTAAGAGTTAATCCTCGTCGCGTCGCGTTTTATCCCGGGCGCGCGTTAAAGCGCGTATTAATATTCACTTGGTCGACCGCCGCGTTACCCCCGACAGCGACATCAGTGCGGGACAAAGGCACCACCCCTCTCGGTATACGCAGCGGCGATAACTTTTTTAACGACGACAAGCCCGCGTCTACGTATTTTTGTTTAGCGCGCGGCGCGGTCGCAGCGGTGCGGCGCGCAGGAAAATAATCTCGCGGTGCTGGCGGCCGACAAAACCGCTTGTACCGCGGCAAATGAATGCGTTCGTATGCCCGTAACGCTCGAGTGCATCGCGCTGTTGCCGTCGTTGCTCCATAACTGTATACCTACGATAACGAATGTGGGTGGCGTTTCTCTCGTTGTCCGCGATTCGTGTTTCCCTTCGTGTTCCCAGTATTTTCGGGCTCGCGTCCGCCAACGCGTCGGCTCTACCGCGATGATAATTTCCTCGAGTTTTTTTTCCCCTTCGTTTCCCTCCCTCTCGTATTCCGTATATAATACACGTGCATCATAAACGCGCAACTCCTCCCCCGCGATTTACACATCCTCCGACATCCACTTTGAAAATCCGCGCGTCCCGTTTTTTCTTTTAATTTCATACGTTTAATGAAAAGAAAAAACAAATTACGGCCCCCCCCCCGGGTCGCGATTTTGAAAACATTTCTTTTCCGAGGAACACGCATCGAGTTTTCAATAATTTTCCCCGATTCTTTGGCCGAATCCGCATCATAATTCTTTGCAATTTTGCGAAAATTGAAACAGCTCGATCGCGCGAGCGATATCTCTCTCGAATTCGAGCGCGACGAAATTGAATACATTTTAATCTGGGGACGGTAGGATGATTTGTATGACTTTTGAACTATATATGTATATATGCGTATGGTATGTGTGTGTGTATGTGTGTACATTTGTATGTAAACGCATGTATGAAACGTGTGTAACGCGCGCTGCCCCTTTTCTACGTTTTCTCTCATCCTCTTTCCCGGCTTACCATCACGTAATGCCTCTGTATCTCTATTTTTTCACTGGCCAGTTTCTCGCACTCCAATTTAAGGCTGTGTAAGAAGAACAAGAACAGAATATTAATATCCACCAAGCCCTCGAAATCGTCGGAGCCATTGTCCCTCCGCTCGTCGCGATACCAAACTACAATCGCGCTGTACGTAACTATATTGTACAATGAGTGTACACATTTCGCGATAAAGATAACAAAACAAGATAAAAAAGACTTAAAAAAAAGGATCTCATATCAGTAAAACACATGTAAAAACGTTCTTGACGAAGTAAATAACTCTTCTTTATCGTTTTTTTATTTTTTTTTTCTTTTTTCTTTTTTCTTTTTTTTTTATCGAGTTCGCAACGCGAAGCGCGTAATTGTCACTGTGTCTTAAGCAAATATGTGAAGTTTTTTCTTTTTTTCTTGCGAAAAAAAAACTCGCAACGCGATGTTTCCGTGCGATTCGAGGAAGAGATAAAAGTCACACAAACGTGTTTCCGACACTTAATATTCGCGAAAGGAGCGAATCGAGAAGCGCGCTTGTGTATGCACATCGCGCGCGCAGCGCTTACATCGCACCTCCGTGAGGCGATAAATTAGCGCGATATTAACGATCAACGCTTGAGCGGCAACTCTCGTTACGCAAGCGGCAAACTACTCGCGCGATCTCGCGTCGGTAGAGTCGATTAATTATTTCAGATTGACGCTGCGCCGACGCGATTCACGAGACGATTCATCGGGAATCTGTGCGTGTGTGTGTGTGGTACCTACGTGTTTGTGCGCATGTTTTGCGCGCGCTTGAACGCGCGAACCGATCGCGAGATACAAGACTTCCGCTTCAACGCAATCGAACGCAATTTTTTCCTCGTCGTGAGATCAATATCTCAATTCGCGAAATTTATGCGCGCGCGATATAGAAACACGTCTCTGTTTGAACATTCTCTGTTTGACGCTACTTTACTTCAATTAACTGTTTTTTTTTTTTTTTTTTTTTTATTTTGTTGTTACGTTCAACTCTAAAAGCAAAAAGACAATAACCTGGATCTTTTCTCTTCGCAATTCACGCGACTTGGAAATAAATAGCGTAATGTAAATCCAACACAAGCGTAGAAATTAATTACGTTCTCAACGAAGCGAACACGATTCTCCTTCGAACAGCGCGATGTGTGTGTGTGTGTGTTCTGAGAAAATCACTTTTTTCGCCGAGATTGTGTCAACACGTGTAAAGCGTATGCATGACCTATCTAAACCACCCTCGGGTTTTCGCTCCTTCTGCGAGCCGCGTGCGCGCATACTTCGCTTGTATACACAGCTTCCGGTCAGACAAACAATTATCCGCTTGCGTCCGTCGTCTGCACGTATGTACGTACGTAAGTCTGTCTGTCTGCATGTGCGTGCGTTTCCGCGTGCGCGCCCACGCGGTATTTACACGAGAAACGCCTAATGGATACGATTCTGTCTATGCGCGATTATTTAAATGTGTGTGTGTGTGCGCGCGCGCTCCATTCGACAAACTGCTATCTCTCGAAGAGTTTCTATCGCGAACTCGATTATCTACGGGGAAAATATGTATTTTCGCTGGGAAAACAGGATTTCGGTTATTTCGCTGCAAAACTGTTTATATTAATGTAACCGAATGTAAAAAGATCGTGTAAGCTTTGGGACAAGTATCTCAGTATTGGTTTCTTTTACTAGAGAAAATTTAAGAAAAAATTTACATATTATCCAAAATAAATATCAATATTCTTACAGAATAAGAAAAATTGCAAGAGATTTATTTATTAATTTTTTTTTTTTTTTTGCTAATACGTAACTTTAGACACAACGGAGATGTACAAAGATCAAAGTTACAAGTAACAAGATCAAGTTAAAAACAATTCGAGACAAATTACAGAGTCACGCGTAAAGTTCGTTGTTGAACGATGCGATAAATATGTAATTAAATATGTAATTAAATAACATGTTTGTACATCTCCGATTGACTGCGATTTAATAATGACAAAAGAGTTCGTGTAACAAGAGACGGATACCTATGGTATTGTGCTTGCAAGAAGTTGAATTCCTCCTTGATGCGATCGCAGGACTCGGCTACTGTAAATTTGAACTGCTGCGCCGGCTGCGGTGGACCCTGCAACACAAAAACGCCATTAAATGTATCGATGCGCCGCAATCCTTTAACGCCATTAAATCTCGTAATGCTCGCCCCGAGATTTATTCGGAGAGACTCTGTCGTTCCGCGGGTACACGCGAATCGATATACACGGAAGAGGGGAAGGAGGGGGTCGAGCAAAAAAATCTCTTGCTGCTTAAAAGTACATCGACAAAACGATGAAGCGCATCGAATGAATTAGTATCTTTTTTTCTCTCTCAATTTTGACAGAAACTCTCGAATTTTTTGTTTCTCGTAATTTAATAAGAATAATAATATAATGTATTTTTATTGCACGCACAATATATTATTTTATATTTTATTAAAAGGAATAGAACAACGGGAGGACGGAGATGAAACGCACAGCGCGGTTGCTATTATTAACGCTTTAAACCTAGTCTGTGTCTCTCGCGAATGTCACATATTCCACACTTTCGGTTATATCAATTAACAACATTGCAGAATGCGCTGGCCTTTTGTTGTGGAGTCTACATTACTATGCAGTAGTAAACGCCGACTGACTTTGGCGGCTGCTGTATCAGCACCCACGAGCGTAAAAGCCACATTATTACCGGTAGTACCGGTGGTACCCGCCACTCTCTCTTTCCCTCTCTCTCTCTCTCTCTCTCTCTGTATACCTGTTGGTAATAACGTTACGAGCGTGTTATCGATCGTTTTGCACGTCGTGCCCCGCAAAACGGATACGCCACTATGACCTCGTAAAAGCCGGAATAGCTCTCCCTCTCTCTTTATCCCTACCGTTCGTCGTCGTCACCGTCGTCGTCGTCGTCGTCGTCGTCATCCCCCCAATCGTTCTCTCGCACGTCGAAGCCGATCTAGATTCCACCTCGCGGTCGAGGAGAATGTCGAAATCGCGGGTGTTTCGTGCGGGAATTCGCCACCGATTCGCGACCGCCGTAATGAAAATCGTGCCGAAACTCGTAAAATAAAGATCAACTTTCGAACGCCGCAGTATCCCGCTCATGACTTGTACGTGGCACCGAACGATCACGAACGCGGCAGAAAAAGATATGTAGCAGCACAATATAAATAATTATTAACTTGTGACATTATAAAAGCAAAAAAAAAAGTTAAACACTCAGCACGTATCGCCAAAAACAAAGAAAAAATATAGCTCGTTTAAAACTAAGAATAGAATTAAAAGACCAAACACTAAAAAAATTCTATAAGAATGTTCTTAACATCTAATTGTTGCTCGTTTTTTACGTTTTTAATTATCTACTCTTTTTCTTTTTATACTTTATTTTTTTACCGTTAAAATGCGAATAATATCCCGAACAAATCGCATCGCGTTTCAACATGCGAGCCTTGTAAAGCCTCATAAAAAAAAAAAAAGAAAGAAAACTACTTCCAGTCAACCGCAACGTGTTTTATTAATCTTCGTGGCTTCGGAAGTCGGGGCTTCTTCTTCGCGTTACATTATTGCACGTGTATGTTCGAATTATGTCGAGGGTTTGTGTTCCAGCCATGCAATATCTCTAAAACAGCTCAAGTGCGCGGAATCAGCGAAACCATACCAGACAACATTGTGCAGCATAAACACACGCACATCTGCTAAACACGCGCGCGCACCACACACATCCGCACTCTTATCCGCGCTGCAAGAAATAAAATAACTTTTTAAACACAACACGAGTTGTATTACTCAAATCGCATTAAGAGACGGAAGTGCAAAGTTGCTCGTGTAACGCGAATCGACGAATAACAGCTGATCGCAGCAGAATCGCTGATCCGATTTGTATGCGACAAGTCACGACTGGTCAATCCAATTAATTTATTAGCTCTCGCTCGCAGAACGAGAGAACATCAGAGACGACATGCTTGCTTGACATTTTCCGATACAGCTCGTTAGCAAATCGATACTATACGACGAGAACGTACGTCGGATCACCAAAATGCCAGAGATCATCGTGTGTGTGTGTGTGTGTGTGTGTGTGAGAGAGAGAGAGAGAGAAAGAGAGAAAGAGAAAGAGAAACAGATTTTATTCGGCGTAACGTCATATAATTCTTATAAAATGTGCTTACGCTGTGACACGTAAAAAAAAAGAAAAAACAAACTACCTCTCGCTCTTGTAAATATGAAAATATCGAGAATACGTCTCGTCTTTGTGATGGGTACAAATGTCAAAGGAAAACACGACATCTTGCCAATAGACAAAAACACGATACCTATATCGTTTTTTCTTTTTTTTCCAATTTTTTTTTTTTTTGTCTTTTAATTTTTTCCATTGGCTTGAAATATTCATCGTGCAACGAGAAACGAGAACGCCGGGGCGAGTGAGTTCTTTCGTGTCGACGAGTGAAACACTGGGAGTGAGAGCAACTGGACGCGACGCGATGTTTAGCGCGGCGTCGTGTTCGTCGAAAAGCGAAGCGCGCGCGAATTATGTCGTTTCAACGAATAATAATGAGAGAACGTAGCCGTCGCGCACGTCAATCAGTGTCCTTTACGTGTCGCGGTCGATTTAATTATCCGATAGCCTCCTCTCTCGCATCATCATTCCGGCGTTTCCCTCTTTCCACGCCGCGCTTTTTATTCCGCGCGATCGAGAGCCCATCGCGCGCAATAGCGAGCGAGCGAGCGAGCCAACGAACGAACGAGCGAACGAACGAATGAGCGAGCGTGCGCGCCCGTCGTCGGTATTCAAATAGCGCGTTATCGCCCCGACAACCTACTCCCCCCGCCTCTCCCCCCCTCGTCCCGTGAAAACGATAGCCCGGGCTGGATAACGACGAACAAGAATTGGCATTAAAGCGCAACGATCGGTACGATCGCGCTTTTATTGGTTTTCGAGTCTCGCGCGACATTTAATACATCCTCCGGCAGATACCCGGATTACCGTTTCGCAGTATATTATCGCGAACAGCTCAATGGAGCGAGAAGGCCGCTTCAATGGACGTTCGTTAAAGCCGGCGACAGGCGACGTCGTCGTTTACGGCCACAGCACTGTCTCTTCGACGTTGAGAGAGAGAGAGAGAGAGAGATGAGAGAGACGGGAAGAGAAGGACGACTCAGCCGAGTTGCGTTCTAATAGCAACTGGACCAATCGGTTGCGTTTGCAGCCACTCAAGTACGCTTAAGTGGCGCGTATCGCCACGTCTAATTACGTTAGCTCCATCGATCCCGCCGCCACCGTCCGTCGCCCACTAGATGCCTGATTATCGGCACGTATTATCGGACAGGTTAACTGCTCTCTACGGTGTCCCCGGCTTGTGATCAAGTCCGTAACCAAACACGAGGCACGCGCGCGCTCAAGTGCCAAGAACATTTGCTCATCTCGAGGTACGCTAAGCGGGCATTGTATATCTGCCATTAGGCATGTTCGAATGCGGAAGCGCCGGCGATATCAGACGACGCACATATTCGATATGTCCTTAAGAGATTCGCGCGTACGGTTCTCATCCCTTTACAAACCTGATCCCTCGTCCCTGATCCTGTGAAACGTTTTTTTCTTCTGGCACCCAAAAACATGAATCGCGAATCTGACGCATTTTATTTGATTTTAGGATATAAAATAATGTTGCAAAAATTTTGTCTCTTTAAAAAAGTTTTATATATTTTGTTTTTAATAATTTGTAAAAAGTTTCGAAAAAGAGATTCAGAATCAGGGTTAAAAATTCAGATTTATCTTTCAATTTATCTTTCGACAATTTTCTTGTGTGCATTTCGTCAACACGTGTTTCAAAAGTAACTATTTAAAAATATAGGAATATTATTTTCGCTCTCACTTGTGTTACAACCACGCAAATTAGCGGAAGCATTCGTTCAATCTCTTCCCTGACACAACGTTCAAGAGGGAAAACAGGCCCGTATCACTCGAAGGCATTCGATCGCTAATCAAAGAGACGGCAGAGAGTCTCGAGAGTTAGTGACCGCGGCGCGCACTCGTACGCTTTACTTAGAGAGACCCTCGTGAGAAACTCGCTAAGCCACGGTGGGATTACGCGCGGAAGGACGACGCAAACAGGGAGAAACGAAGGGGGAATCGGGAAGAGCTTCGAGAGAGTCGGTGGTTTTCGCCGTACCGCAAAACCACCGACTCGTGGCGCGGATTCCAAAACCACCCGGCGACCAGAACCGACCGCGTTCGCCCTATAAGCGTACCTCTCTACACCACCTTCCGTTATTCTGCAGAGAAAGAGAAAGCCTCTCAAATATTATATAAATTGTCGAAACATCGCGCGCAACAAAGTCGATTGGGAATGTACAAAAATGTAACATTCATTTTTTTCTATTAGCACAACAGGCGCGCGCTACGCACACGCTATTATTGTTTTTATTTTAACGTGTAGTGTCAGTAAACACAACCTGTCACCGCGATGACAGATAGTATATACGTCTTATAAACCATATATATATATAATACACATATGAGAAATGTCAGAAATAACGCATGAAAATCAAACTCAAAAAATAGTGAGAGAGAGAAGTGGAAAAACAACACGTGACTAAAGTCACAGGGAAAAGAGTAAAAAAGAGAATATTATATATATTATATGTAATATTCTATATCTATATATAATACACACACATACGCATATATGTATATATATATACCGTAATCACGTGACCGAAGTCAGTAACACCGCCGCGGTCGCGCGGCCGAGGCCAGTGACCCCGCCCCCATCAAGGCCGCGCTCCCGCGGTCAGTGACCTCGCCCCCACCAAGGCCGCGCGGTCGAGGTCAGTGACCCGCCAAGGCCGCGCGGCCGAGGTCAGTGACCCCGCCAAGGC